ACACATAAAGGGATCTCACCGGAGGCCCCAGCATGTATCACTTGGGAAAGAAATGAGAGGGACACAAGATCAGGAAAACCTTCTCCATACTCACCAAATAGAACTTGGTCATTATCCCTATTGCAATCTCCTTCTCCATGTATCTAAAACAGAGGCTTTCGAGGACATTAGCCTCTTAGCCCATTTAGAGCATTCTAAACGGATGGGAAAAATTTGATAGTGTTGTTTTACTAGAACTGGATACCCACATTAAACAGGCCCAGGAAAAAGCTGCCAGCAAAAACCGTGATCAGCCAAGGACCCCCAGCAGGGAGGTACCGCAGGGTCAAGGGGAACCCCCCTTTGAGAGACCACCAAATGAAAGATCACAGCAGAGTCAAGGGGAACCAAATCCTGCCAGAATGGTAAAGGAGGAGGAAACCCGTTAGGCTGTGCCAAAAAGTCTCTGGTAACAAAGGGAAGGTTACCCTCCCCGGGCTGTATCGGATTTGCGGACAGTGGGCAGGAAAGATTTTGCCACCTTTTTGGGTTGGAACATGCACGATAGGTATCCTAATGCTAGCAGATGTGATAATATATAGAATAACCATCCTAAATGATTTGGAAAAGAGAACAATTTTTAAAAAGGGAGTTTATGATGAAGAGGTTGGAGATGATCCAGACAGAACTTATTTAAATGAAGGAGTAAGGTTGGGAGCCATTTTGTTCCCTGCTATGGGTTCAGTTTCAAATATAAGACAATTCGGGAAAAACTCTCAGCTCAAGTTGAAAAGTTGGAAAGAAAAACTGTGGTTGGAATAAGGGCTTTGCAGCTATAATGATAAGATCTCTTTATGAAGTTACAAAGGGGGGTGAAAGGGAACCATTTAATTGGACCCCAAATTTGCCCAAACATTTGCATAGTTGAAAGCAAGCTTTGATGCAAGCATCGGCCTTGGGCTTGTTTGAATTGAAGATGCCATTCATATTTTATGTTGGTGAATGAGATGAAATAACAGGAGGGGTGCATACCCAGCTATTAGGAACATGGCCGAGACCAGTAGCTTACTTGTCTAAGCAAATTGACCCTGTAGCAAAAGGTTGACCAACTGGTCTATGTGCTGTAGTTGCTATGGCCTGGCTGACTCAGGAAGCTGATAAATTGACTTTGGGACAAGAGTTGATAGTTAAAACCCTCATTCAGTAATGGCTATCATGAACTATAGAGGATATCATTGGTTCATAAATAGCCATATGCAAAAATATCAGATTTTATTATGTGAAAACTCTTAAATCAAGTTACAGACTTGCAGTATATTAAAGTCTGGTTCACTTCTGCTTGTTGAAAGGGAAATGCTTCAACATGATTGTTTAGAGACTATGGATGAAATATATTCCAATAGACCTGATATAAAAGATTAACCATGGCCTGAGGTAGATGCCACTCTTTTTACAGATGGAAGCAGTTTTATGGAAAATGGACAAAGATATGCTGGATATGCAATAATAACTGCAACTACTGTGTGGAAAGCAGAACCACTTCCTCTAAATACCTCAGCTCAAAAGGCAGAACCGATAGCACTAATTAGAGCTCTGGAGTTATCAGAAGGAAAAGTAGTCAACATTTATACAGATTCTAAATATGCATTCACTACCTTATATGCATATGGAGCATTATAAAAAGAAGAGGGACTACTAAATTCTGCTGGGAGATAAATACAACATAGTGAGACCATTCTGAGATTGTTAGATGCTGTCTGGGTTCCTGCATCAGTAGCAGTAATGCATTGCAGAGTACATCAATGTGACAAGGAACGTGTGACCTATGGAAACTGGTATGCTGACACCACAGCAAAGGCCGCAACCCGAAAGGGACGAGGAAAAGAGCTGGTCATGGCCCCTTTGCAGGTAAGAGACTGGATACATTATACTAGAATAAAGAAGGCATCACCTGAATGGACTGCGACTTTTGATCCAAAAAGAATCCCTTGAGACTTCGTATCATCAAACCAACAGTGCCATGAGACCCAGAACGAGGACTACGGCTCTGGTTTTGACCACATACCTGGAAGCTGGTTAAATACATCAGACAGAAGATTGAGGAGCACTGTGAAAATGCCAACGTGTATGGAACATTCTTCAATAACTGTGATAAATGATTGTGTTAAATGTTATTTTTGCTAAGAATGTAATTGCGTGAGTTTGCAAGGCTACTGTAGAACATTCGCTCGCAAAAAGGGGGGAATGTGGCAGCAAGCGGAAGAAAAAAATTATAAAAATATATTTAAAAAATGAATATAGGAAAACTTACCTTGAAATACTAGCGAAGGAGTGTTTGCGGCAGGGAGAAGCAAAATGTTCCATAGACGAAAGTCAGAGATCAAGGAAGTTAAATATTAACGGGAACATGACATTTGGGAAACAATAATAAAGTGAGATGTTTATCATCAAGGGAATGTTTTTGGCAACCAGACAAGGACGCTTGTGTAGATAATTGATCTGAGGCTGGAAAAGGTCAGAGCAACATCTGGTGGTTCAGTGAGGTAAATAGCAGGTAACTCCAGATATATTACGAATATGGGAATAATTAAGATTTGAAACAATTATAAGTACGTCAATATAATATGTCATTGTGATGTATGGGAAAAGGTAATGCGAAATACCTCTGTTAATGATTATATCTGTGTAAATGTCATGGCAGTTGTGCGCATGTCTGAACTAGTGAATTTTGCTATAAATATTGAAACCTAACTGATTTTCAAGTACGCTTCAGATCACACTTCTGAGCGTCCTATCATGATAGTAAATATGCCTGGAATCAAATTTGCAGTCTCCGTCTCCTTCCTGCCTGATTGTGCTCTACATGATCCCGGGTAGCAAATCTGCCGCGACACTAATATTCTTTCGACTTCTAGTCTAGGAATGTAACAGACCACATATCTCAATATAAGCCTAGCTATAGTCTGAAGGCTGAGTGAAGGAAGATAGATGCTTTTGAACTGTGGTATTGGAGGAAAGTTCTGAGAGTGCCTTGGACTGCGAGAAGACCAACCAGTCCATACTTCAGGAATTAAAGCCTGACTGCTCATTGGAGGAAAGGATATTAGAGGCAAAGATTAAGTATTTTGGACACATAATGAGAAGGCAGAAAAGCTTAGAGAAGACAATTATGCTGGGGAAAGTGGAAGTAAACAGGAAGACAACCAAGGGCAAGATGGATGGATGGTATCCTTGAAGTGACTGGTTTGACCTTGGAGGAGTTGGGTGTGGTGACGGCTGACAGGGAGCTCTGGTGTGGGCTGGTCCAAGAGGTCACGAAGAGTCAGAAGTGACTGAATGAATGAACAACAAGAGTCTGAAAGGCACAAAGCAGTCCTTCTTTCAATCCCACCACTTTTGCAGTTATGGTTGATGAGGTTTGGAGATAGGGCTTTCTCAGCAGCTGTCTCTAAGCTCTGGTTCCCCCATCCTAAGGAGGCCCACTTCTCACTGTTTTTCCATCAACAGGTGAAGACTAATCCCAACAAGTCTTTAGAAATTACACTTTTAAGGAAAAGGCTTGTAGGAGAGAGAGCTAACACTTTAAATTGTACAGTTTTTGAACAGCTTTTTATCCTTTAAGTGTATGCATTAAATTGTTTTAATAGTGCTTTAACAGTGTTAACAGTTTAATTCTATTCAATATTAATCTTCTTGCATGTTTTAACTATTATAATCATTTTAATTTATTAGCCACTATATGTCTCATTTCTGAGGAAAATATAATGGTGGTCGTGAGGATGGTTATGATGGAACAACAATGGCACAGGAACTTTGTCTTGACAAAACATTAACATCTGGTATTGATATATAGAACCAATGCCAGTTTTTAAAAGGCAACAACTACATAGTTTCATTCCATGACACCAAAGCCATAAACTGGCATTATAACACGAATTATATTACAGTATGTTTAAGATCTTCTCTTGTTCACCTAGTGCCTGCTAGCCTGTCTCCCACACTAACATATAACAGTAACTGATAGCACCAGAAGCACAGGCATGTAGGATGCCAGAAGACCATCCAATCTATTAAGGCAGGGGTCCTCAAACTAAGGCCTGGGGGCTGGATACAGCCCTCCAAGGTCATTTACCCGGTCCTCGCTCAGGGTCAACCTAAGTCTGAAATGACTTGAAAGCACACAACAACAACAACAATCCTATCTCACCAGCCAAAAGCAGGCCCACACTTCCCATTGAAATATTAATAAGTTTATATTTGTTAAAATTGTTCTTAATTTTAATTATTATATTGTTTTAAAGTGTTTTGCACTACAAATAAAATATGTGCAGTGTGCATAGGAATTCATTTATGTTTTTTTTTTCAAATCATAATATGGCCCTCCCAACAGGGACTCTGACTTAGCCCTTTGTTTAAAAAGTTTGAGGACTCCTGCTTTAAGGCAAGATCCCCTTAAGATTCTAAGCCAGTATGTTATAAGGAGACTAGTAGAACACAATTAATATTACTGTGTCCTCCTCCAATTTCATTTAAAGCCTATTCTGGGGAAGGCCTTTTTGTCGGGAAGGAAACAAAGTATAATACTGAAGACTTAGCTTTTAATAACCAGAAAGTACAGAATGCTTAAAGGCAAATCATATATTACCATTGAATCTATCACCAACACTCTTACTGGTCAACAGTTTATGCCCTTTCATTGTTGGCTAGTTGTGTGCCTTCAAGCTATTTCTGATTTATGACAACCCTAAGGTGAATCTATTAGGGGAGTTTTGTTCAGGGAGGATTTGCCATTGCCTTCTTCTGAGAAAATAGGTTTCCATGGCTGCATAGGAATTCAAACTCTAGATTCCAGAGCTGTAGTCCAATGTGTAAACCACTGAGCTACACTGGCTTTCATGTACTTTTACAATAGTGCAATTAATTTCTATCTGCCTAAATACCCTTAATGCACGAGAAGGTCAGCAGGGTCAGACCATGTTTATCTGAATAGAAAGAATTAGTATCAGGTGCGATGAGCTATCTTTCAGAATAAGGATCTGACCAAAACATATTTGAGTGTTATTGCCTAAGAAACCCCTATGAAATCAACAGGGTCTCCATAAATCAGCAGATGACTTGAAGACACACACACACAATTATCCATCAACCTAGTTATGCTGAATCCAATGGTTGTTTAACTGCTTATACAACAGGCACTCTGGTCATTAGCTCATCTATCTATTAGGCTTCCCATCAATCCAATCAACATCTAGTAGTTATGAAAACTATGAAAAAAGAGCACCAATTATGATAGCTATGATATACCTCCAGTATTAGAAGGAATCAGGATGCTTCTCAGTACCAGTGTGGAAGTAGGAGAGTGCTATTGTCTTTGACTGAAAATCCAATTGTTCGTTCCAGCAGAGGAGTCCTAAGTGTTGATTTTTCAATTCCCTTTTTAGCAACTGGGCTAAGATCCTCAGGACTTTGCCTCTACACTAGTCTATATTCCCACTAAAGTCTCTATTCTAGTTGGGTATGAGATAATCATTTCCAGTTTATGGGTTTAGTTACCAAGGGATTAGAATACTCGAATAGATAAGGCTTTGGTCTGATCTAGTATGGCTGGATCTTAACATTTTCCAGGCTATAACCATAATCTTTCTACTTCATGATAGGGTTAAACAATGAAGAGTAATAGGATGCCCAGACCAATATTATGAGGAGCAGAGGTAGAAGGGGAAAAGGTATTGGAAGCTGAGATTTTCCCTTCCTTATTCTTTCATTATGTGGTGAAGATCAAGCATATAGACATATCTGCAATAAACATTAACAATTAGAGCAAGGACTTGAGTGAGAGTAGGGAGTAGTGTAAATCTGTCAGCCAGTATTCATACACTTATATTCAGGTGTTCAATCGAGCTAAGACCTAATTCTGAGAATGATCTATAGGCACAGAGGGCAATTTCAAACCACCAGTCAGTTGAACAACCACAAATGACCAGATGGAATGCCATTTCAACAGTGGATAAAATTCCTTCTCAGATAGGGATATAAATCATCTCTTATTTAATTCTGACATATGAGATCAAAATAATCCAGAAGCTTCCTCTCTAATAAACAAGATTAGAAGAATTTGTGAACATATAGCTGGTTTTTGTTTTGTTTTTGTTTTTTTGCATTTCATGACATTTTGCGCAAAACATTAATTTGTACAAAAGCACTATTTTATAACATTTTGTACAAAGCAGAAGTGCTTGCATCAAGGATGTAAAGCTTTATGACGATGGAGTAACATTGCTGATATAGAAACAACCTTATTAGAATATTGCAATGATATATATTGGAGCATTACGAAAGATATCCTATTGTGGCACAATGAAATGTGAGGATATATTTCTAGCTAGGTTCAAGGCATCCATGACTTTCCATTGCCCTGTGTTCTAGACTACTACTGCCTTGAAGTTGTTGTTGTTTTTTTGTGGATGGCATTGCTTCCCTCTCTTTGCATTGCCATTTCACAAGGGCACCTTGCCATTCAAACTGTCCCACTGTTGTAATCACTTCTAAACTGTTAACAATAACAATTTGGTTTACATAAATTCCCAACACGATGCCAGCCATTGTGTTTTTGCAGGGATGTGTTTGTGTGCACCTTAAAGTCACATGTCGATCTATCAATGAATATATTTTTGTGCAAAATATATCTAGCCTAACTGCAATATTTTCGTACAAATGAATTTTTCACAAAGGCCAAATATTTGATAATTGCACAAATATTCTCATAACATATCAAAGGACCATTTCATACCAAGCAATGGAAAATCAGGAAACACTCTTTTATATTAATACTCTCAGGTCCACATCAATGAAACCTGGGCGGGTGATAACCGCATGTCTATTGGGTAGATGTCCTGGGGCTTCTGCAGTAACTTTTTGGAGTCTACTATGTTCAGAGTTGAGAATCTACATGAGATGGGAGAGTAAGGTTCTCCAGTTCATCACCACTCTCTCTTTGTGTAGGGCTTTTTATTGTATACAGGGTCACCCAGATAAAACTGGGTGCACAGAACAAAGGCATCCTCCAGGATCTGCCTGTGGTTCTTTGATGGCTCCAGATAATGATGTTGCTGTGTATAGGACATAATCAAATGTTTCTCCCCTACCCTGTGCTCTCCACTATCCACCACAAGATATATGTTAGTTTTACCTATGTTACAATGCTAACAGGATCCCTGTTGCTTGTCCCTTCAAAACTCTAAGGGTGGGTAAGGAAGGAAACCTGAAGGAAATGAACCAAAGTTAAGATTTGCTGAATTTTGGGGTGAGTGGGGGGTGTAGAGGAACAATTTGTTTTATGTGAATTGGAACAGCACAGAAATAGAATTATAAGCAATATGTACAGGTAGCAGAAGTTATATCATAAGGCAACTGAAATATTTTTTGGATTCTCCAATGAGCCACTGGTTTCCCTCTTTTGCCAACCCATTTCACAACCTTTCATTTTCTTCTGCTGTTTGGGGCTGGAAGAGGACTGCCAGTCTCCATGGGCTTTGTGAGCTTCAATCACTTGCCTTGAAAGCAGATGGTTTGTTTAAAACTGTCACTCCGTAGATTCCCCTTGTACTCTGAAAACCAAAGTCTCTGGTTCAGTAACTGGCTGTAGCTGGAATGATACAGAACATGGTCATCACTCTGAAAACCTTCCCTTACAAGATACTGTATTTAGTCTGGTTTGGTTTATTTTAAAAAAAGAAAAAAAGATCAAGTTCTTGAAGTCTTGATTACATTTGCACATGGCTTTGTAAGGCAGAAGAATCTACTGAATACAGTAATATGAGAATCCTGTTTCCACATTTCTTATGGAATTCACCCCTTTGTTTATTCAGTTTTTAAAAAATCTTTGATTGGTTAAAGACTCAAATACTGTATGAAATGTTCTTATTTTCTTAAAAAAAACAAAAACAAAACAAAAACAAAGAAAAGCTGTTATTTTTCTTTTGAGTTCTTTTTTTTACCAGCCACTCTGAGCAGTGCATCAGTTGTGGTAGAGATTTATAGTAGAAATTTGTAGTCCTAAAGGGCAACACTTGACTCGCTCCAGCTAGATTAGTAGCCCTCCAGTAGCCTTCTTGGTGGCTGCCATCAGAGCTCCAGTGAGCCAATTAGGACAAACATTATTAGTGAGTGAGTCAGGGCAACTGCTGTCTGTGTTATTGGATGGTCTGCAGAATTTTTCACCATCATGCTTGTACCTGCAAGAAAGAAACAGCTGTGCTAAATTACAAAAAGACTAGGGGAGACAACAATATTTATTTTCAGTTATTAGGAAATTTGGGAATTCTGTATGTATTTGCTATCCACTTACCTTTGTGCAGCAGTTGTAGGCTGTTCAGAACTTGGAAATCAGTAGTTAAAATTAATTTGTTACCCACATTGTTAGCATTTTCTACAATGAATTTAAGATTAATTGTCGTGATCTTTAAAATACCAGTAACAGTTAAACATCAGTGTGTTGGTACAACTACATTTGCACCAGCACAGCAGTAGAAGAAGTGGATGTGACAATAAACAGGAGGGCAGTAATGCCATCTCTGCCAAATATTAAGCTGTCCTGCTAGCTCTGAATCATCAAGTTGAAAGAGACCACAAGAAGCATTCAGTCCAACCCTCTGCAATGAAAGAATACTCAATTGAAACACTCCTGGACAATGACCATCCTACATATTCCACTATCAAACAGCACTTACCATCAGAAATTTTTTCGAAATTAGGAAGACCTAATTATGGTCAGATATTTGTGTATGTGCTGTCTACTTGCTTATTGACTTATGCATTCTATAGGGTTTCTTTAGGCAAGGAATACTTAGAGATAGTTTTGCCAGTTTCTTTCTGAGCCTGGTATTTGTGGTTGGTCTCCAAGATCAGATAGTATCTGGTGTCTTTAGCCTATTTCCAACCCAAAAGACAGCTTGATTTCTAAATGGGGATAGCTTTTGCAGCTGCCTCCTCCTACCATCATGGTTTAAAAAGTACTTACACAAGTGGAGATAACTTCCGCCAGTGTGGATCAAGAACAGGATTCCAACAATGTTACTTTTGAAAATTAAGATTAATATTTCATGCTCTTTCAATGTGTTACTTTTGAGTAGTAATTTGGAGTTATGTAAAGATGTTTTCAGTAATTTTAAATTCACGACTTAATGATTTTATGACCAATGAGTATATCAATTTTATTTTAAGCAGCACTCTTAATATTAGAGAGTCAGATATACCAATTGAACACTAGTGGATTAGTGGGACTCATGCTTCCAAGTTGTACTGTTGCACTGAGGATAAATGGCGAGCATCAGTTTAACAGCAGTCAGTCTATCACAGTAGTAGGACTGGCAACAGCACTGCTATCAGAGTTCTAATTCAGGGAGATTTCTGAATACTATAACATGAGTTTTCCTATAGGGAAAGAGCTACTCTTTCATTTTGTTCGGCCCCAAACACCTTCTCTTAAAGACCCTGCATCAACATAATTCTTTATTGCAGATACAGACCTCTTTCAGTCAGCAGTGAGCAGTAAATTCTGATGTGTAGGGGTTCATCATGACAGTCCCCATTATCACATGTCCCCAGCCCAGAGATACAGGCATCTGTGTTCATTCGTATCAGCAAAGTTTTTGTAAAACTAACAGATTTTGATGGCCTGTTCAAGTACAAAGTCAACCAAAATTTATTTATTTACAACATTTGTATCCCGCCCATATCAGCCTCAAGGCAATTCAGGGCGGCGTACAAGTCGGTAACAATTAGATGCCATATATAAAAATACATACATCAATAAAAAGCAAAAACATCACAATACATTTAAAAACCATAAAATCAATGAATAATAAAAATTATAAAAACTATGTCTTCTTGTTCAAATCCTTAACCGTTCCATCGTCTTAGCCATTCCTTGTTCATTTTCCGATTTCAGTTTTTCTGGTCATGCTCTGGTTCCAAACACTTGCTCAAAGAGCCAGGTTTTCACTCTTTTTCGAAAGGTCAGGAGGGAGGGGGCCGATCTAATATCCCTAGGCAGGGAGTTCCACAGTCAAAGGGCCACCACAGAGAAGGCCTTGTCTCTCGTCCCCACCAAATGTGCTTGTGAAGCAGGCAGGATCGAGAGCAGGGCCTCTTCAGATGATCTCAAGTTCTTGGAGGGTTCATAGGGAGAGATGCGTTCGGATAGATAAGCTGGGGCAGAACCGTTTAGGGCTTTAGAGGCTAAAGCCAGCACTTTGAATTGTGCCTGGCAGCAAATTGGCAGCCCATGGAGCTGATACAACAGTACAGTTGTATGCTCCCCAAGCACCGCTCCCGTTAGTAAGGTGGCTGCCGCACGCTGAACCATTTGAAACTTCTGAGCAGTTTTCAAAGGCAACCCCATGTAGAGCATGTTGCAGTAGTCTATACGGGATGTAACCAGAGTGTGGACCACCGTGACCAAGTCAGACTTCCCAAGGTATGGGTGCAGCTGGTGCACAAGTTTAACTGTGCAAATGCTCCCCTGGCCACCAGGATCACACCCAAACTGTGAACTTGTGTCTTCAGGGGGAGTGTGACCCCGTCCAACATAGGCTGTAACCCTATGCCTTGTACGGCCTTATGACTGACCAGGAGTACCTCTGTCTTGTCTGGATTCAATTTCAATTTGTTTGCCCTCATCCAGACCGTCACAGAGGCCAAGCACCGGTTCAGGACCTGGACACCCTCCTTAGTAGCAGGTGTTTTGTAGCAAAATGTTTTATATCAGGTGTAAACTAAGCACCACAATCATATAATAATTCTTCATCTTGAAATTTGAACCAGAGAAGAATTCAAATACTTATAGCCATCACTACGTATTTCCAAGGAATCTTAAGCTGAGGTTCTTCATATCTATCAAAATAGACATGGGATGCTCCTGTGCTCAAGATGTCTTCATCACCTTTCTACCAAATCAGGGTGCATTTGAGAAACAACCAAGAACGGTTTACTGGTGTTCAGATATGATATAATTATTATCTAAACCAAGAGTGTTGGCAACTCATGGGTCACATGTTCTCTATTGCCCCCCCCCCCCCCAACTCCTTCTTCACATATACTTCTGCTGCTCCCACTACACAAGAATAATAGAACCATCAATCCACCAAACACACTACTGGGAAGTCAACTATTCTGGGAAAGAGGACATGTAGGAACAATCAGTGTTTAAGTGGTAAAGTGGTTTAAACCTCTTATCTCTCTTAGTGACCTAATTTACAAAGGGCATAAGAAAAGTGTGTGAGTTTGCATCTGTAGCCAGTGTAATAAGGCAGCAAGAGGAAATCTTACCATGCGAACCAGATGGGACACAGATGATTGAGACAGTTCAAACAGTGGATTTTAATGTTGAGACAAATGATTTTAATGATTTTAGTTATTTTAATGTTTATGTATGTGTATAGTCTATTTATGTTCTGGCATTGAATGTTTGCCGTTTATATGTTGTGCTCCGCCCCGAGTCCCCTTCAGGGTGAGAAGGGCGGAATATAAATGCTTTAAATAAATAATAAATAATAATAGCCTTTGGCCACTCAGCAAAGTCAGAAATGCTATTCATTCTTAATCTAAAGCAGTGGTTCCCAACCTTTTTTTGACCAGGGACCACTTGACCAGGGACCACTTTGACCAGGTACCACTCTCCAACATTACTACTAAAAAAAGTTACGAATTAGTTTTTGGTCAATTTTAGATTTGGTTTGGTTATTTTGGGTGCTGATTCAGAAAATTGCATGGGTTGGACCACATCAGCTCTAGTTTCTGATACAGAACATATGCCATCCAGTAGTTACCATCTGCTTGCCCACAGAAAACCATATTTAATAAGCCTCAGCACTATAAGTGTGTTGCTCTCTTGTTGCTGTCGTTGCAAAAATATAGTAACGGTGAGGTCACAGACCATATTAGTTCTTGCGGACCATTTATGGTCCTCGGACCACAGGTTGAGAACCATTGATCTAAAGTGTTATTAGTCCTCCAAGAAATGTAGTGGCGGGAGAGATCTGGTAGAGCACTCACATGCTATTTTTTTCAACAAAGCCACAAAATCAAGTCAAACAATGAGGAGAGTATAAATTAGCTTGTTTTTAAGCTAAGATCCAGCTATCTTGAAACTGTCTGCTGGGATATAGATAAAAATGTAGAAAAAGAGAAGACTATACGCACCGCCATTCCTCAGAATATGCACCTCTGCTGGGACTCCATCTCCACCAGGACCTGTTGTTCTGATTTGCACCAGAGCATGAGTTGAATCTTCTGGGACTGGGATCTCAATCCGATTATTGCTGACAATGTACAGGATAGGATCTGAATGCGAGTCAATGTGACACAGCATCTATGGACAACAGCATTTTGAGCTTACTATAGATGTTGTTCCACTGATTAGTGCCTATTTTTCAACATCCTCCTTCTAAAAGCTCAAACTGATCATAATTATTGTGACGTGAAGTGCCAGACATTTTTGACAAATAAGTAGACATGGGTTTTTAGCCTCCAGGATAGTTTGAGAAAATACAGTGCTGCTCAACAGAGGCAAAACAGATTTGATGCAGAACCTCATGTAAAATAAATGGAGCCACTCTCCTCTCATCAGATAAACAACCCAGAGTTAATTATCCAGAGCCCCTACATTTTACTGACTGGCTATATTGCATGTCCAAACCTAAAAACTTCTCAGCCAGATGAAGGACTTGTTACAAGTACCTTATAGCCAGTAACAGCAGACTCATCCGCCTTGGCAACCACGGGATCCCACTTGATGCTCACACTGGAGCTGGAAAACTTCCAGGATATGTTGTCAGGTGGCCTTCTTGGTGCTAGAAGAGGCAAAGGATAAAGACATATGCTGAGTCAACCGGCAGCAAGCTGAAGGACTGTGAGATAAACTGGGAAGGCAGAAAATTAATCCTGCAGTTTTTAATTGTACCTGTTACTCCTTGAAGGTGATCTGTAGATTTATCAATTGTCATTACCTCAATGAACAATGTCTAGAATTTAGAAATGCTTGCTCTCTATCCACCCTACTGATTTGTGCCTCTGTGGTGAAAAGGACAAAAAAGCCTTTCCAGTAGAGAAGCAGTATTTGTGACTTGATCCATTTATGTATTTGATATATTTGCTTTATCTATATTCTGCATTTCCTGTAAGGAGATCAAAGCTTCCTGCTTTTTTTCTCATAAAATCTGTGTGAGGGAGGAGTGCCTTCAAATTGTTCCAGCTTATGGTAACCCTAAAATGAACCTATCATGAGGTTTTTTTTTTTTGCAAGATTTGTTCAGAGGGGGTTCCCTTTGGGACTGAAGGAGTGATTTGCCCAAGGTCACCCAGTAGGTTTCTGCACTGCAGCACACATTTGAACCCTTGTCTCCAGAGTCCCAGCCCAATATGCAAACCACATGACACTGTATCTCCATGTACTATACATGTACTGCATTGTAATCAATAAAAAGTATAACCAAAGCAATACACATTGTCTATGTATATGAAAGAAAATGTGCATAATGAATATCCAACAAGGAGTGCATAACTGTATAAACAAATTGTTTTCCATAATGAATATATGGAATACTTATGAAGATTGATGTTTATTTTCCTAGTACATAAATTTTCTGCAAATCTAGAGCTTAAGAGATTCTTATGGGGAATATTGATACTGATCTGCCAAATAGACAATGCTTGAGAACTAAAGGGACCAAAGTAACAAACTATAAGAAAGTCTAGCCAGGTGCAAATTGTCAAGCATGATGCACAGAAACCTCATCCATCCACAAAGAGATGGTGAGGGGACCTGCCAACTGAAGTATTGAATAGAACCTGTAAGGCTCAGAGGTCATAAGCAGACCCCCAGCAGGAATCTAAGAAGGGCAACATCCAAATAAAGTCAACCTAAAAATGGTCAATCCCATCCCTAGAATCCGCAGAGACGTAATTGTCTATTTAAACATGTTTTGGCCACCACTCTTTGTCTAGAAACATTTTTAAAAAACTGACTCCCTGATCACTTTCCATTTCAAAAAAGGGAAAAGAAGCAGCCCATAAAATCCTTCTTATCCTTCCAATGACTTAAGAATGATAAGGATGCTTTAGATTACAAAAAGATACCCTGCATGGGATTGGGTGGAGTAATAGCTTGGCAGGTCAGTTGACTTTCATAACAAACAGAAAATGACCTGGAAGTGACACACATTACAAATTATAAAAACAAAAGCAACCCAAATTATTATAGTGTTAGGTCCAGGATCTGATTCCCCAAAACAAAAGTTCTCTGCCCACTGAAGATATCTGTTGCATATTCAGGGATCCAACCCTTCCTCTCCATATCACAACATCACATTCAGCAGGTGTCCCCAATTCTCTTGCAATGCAGGAGAAGCCCTGTTTTATGCTTCAAAAAGTGGCTTCAACTCATAAAAAAATCAATAATTGCTATCAAACATACCATCAAAGCACACTCAGAGGAGGCTGACAACTATCTCTTAATCTAGTGCTACTTACGGGGCTTTGTTGTTGTGAAGCTTGTGGGAATGCTGGCTGGTCCAGTCCCTGCTCGGTTGTAAGCTCTGACTGCCACATGGTACTTTGTGTTTGGGTGGAGGTCTGTCACATGTGCCGAGCTGACAAGGCCTGCTGTCCTCACTCTGTCAGCGGCCTCTTCTTTGTCACCATGCTTCCAGTATCGGATCTGAAGACAACAATGAAAAAGGACCTGAATTTGTCAGGTACTGAAGTGCAGTAAGACCCTAATAATTGCAGAACTCAGGCCTGCAGTTTCACTTACTCATGTCTAGGAAAAAAATTGAATTTGCTCCGATGCTGGATTGGGAAGTCAGGTAATTTAGTGGCATTCAATTGTATGCTGGGATGGGAAGTCAGGTAATTTAGTGGCTTTCAGTTGTATCTAAGGTTTCAGGAAACCATGGTCCAGTCAGAAACATGGTATCCCCAGTGTGTACAGGACTCTTACTATATGTTTATTAAGTCAGTGTTAGATTATTTCCTAGGAACAACCTCTACTGACAGTTTCACAATAGGGACTTCCTTGAATCAGCTTCACAAGTTGATATAATTTTATCCAGACTAAACCTTCTTTCTGAGTCAGAGAGTTGGAGTTCTGAACGTGAACGTCCAGTATTTCCTCCACTTACCTCATATCCCAGGAGAACTCCATTCATATCATGGTCTTCCACAGGATTCCAAGATATATCCATTTCTGTAGCCATAACAATATTTACTGTAATGTTGGAGGGAGCAACTCTTGGTTCTGTCGAAGTAAAATAACAGCAATTTACTATGTAGTGTGTGTTTTCTCTCTCTCTCTCTCTCTCTGTGTGTGTGTGTGTGGAGGACAACCTGCAATTGTAAGCAACTTCTTTCCAGTTTTGAAATATCTAGGCAAAAATCAAGAGCAAGACATAGAGGACAATGCAACACATTGACTTAATTTTGGTATCATTCAAAAACTAAAATAATTAAATTTAAGTACACTTAAGCAATATTTTATGTAACATGGTTCTAACTTACCTTCTTCTGCAGAGTGTACAATGGATACCAGGCTTTCAGGTCCTTCTCCCTTCTTGTTGAAGGCCTTGATCTTCACTTCAAATGGTGTATAAGGTGCTATGCTCTCATTGCGATACACATAATGCAGTGATTCTGCCCCTAGCACGGTTGCAGTTTTCCAGACCTGAGTGCCTTCCTTTCGGAAAGTAAGCTTATATCCAAAGCCATCTCCATTTTGGTACTCCCGTTGTATTGGCTGAGATATAAGTCAAGACCAGAATGAAGAGAAGTGGTTCAAATTCCATCAAACAAAACCAAAAAAGTCAGTAACATCAGCCTGGGTTTAAGATTTTATATTAATACCATACATATGCTATCGCAATAAACGATAAACTGACAGGAAACATTAAGGTTAAAAGAGGATTATCAAAAAAAGATGATTTTGGGAAGATTTGGGGGAAATTGATAGAATATGTATATATAGAAGGTAAGGGGACCAAACCTGTAATAGAAACAACTGATTTTTGGGAATAAATATTGTAATTGGCTGGTCGGGGGTGAAGGGTTAGCACTGGGTGATTGGATGTATTGAAGCAGGAGAATGAAATATTATAGCTATCAAGATATACATGTTCTGTACAATTGTTAATGGGAAGTGATAAGTAGAAGAATGTTTAAATACTGAATATGTTAAAGCTACAATAAATAAAATTTTAAAAAAAATACCATACATATGCTATGCACTTATATCTTACAGCAGGCCAGGCCAGAAGAGCAAGACTAAAATCTGTGTTCAATAGATGTCACAATAATATTCACACAGAATATCGAGAGTCATTTTGAGACTTAATAATAATAACATTCAATGTTCATACATACAGTTCATGGAACTTTCTTATTGCCATGTTATCCAAGTTAATACAACAGCAAGCATAGACCTGCCTTACTCATCATAATCAACGTGAAGCTACTGCTTAAAAACAGTTTGTCAGTGGCAAGCAAACCTATACATTCTGAAAATTTTAGAACTCATTTGTGGAGTCCAAACACCATGTTTCTGAATTCCCACCTCTGGCACCAGGTTTAGGATTGTGACAGAAGAGGACACAGCAGATATTCCAGTCAATTGGTAAGAGATTTATTGCATTTTTCTAAATTAGGACTGTAACAAAAGAGGACATAGCAGATATTCCAGTGCATCAGTCAGACATATATTGCATTTTTTCTTAAAGCCATTACACATCCAATGGAAGAAAGCCTGTAGCTACATACACACAAAAAGTCAAATTAACTAGTCTCCAGAAGTTCACCTCATGATGGCTCTTGGAAGCTTCTATCCTTTTAAACAAACTGCAGAGCCTCTGAACTATTTTAAAGGTATTGGGTTTGTTATTCTAAATAAGCTTTCTAACAAAACTGGAGTTGATTTTGGAGCTCAGTACAGGTGATTCCAGTTTGCCTAGTCTTCTTCTAGCTCTTCACTGGAACATTGGGATATTTATTGTATGTGTTTATACATACTATTTCTACATTATTTTGTGCATAGGGAAAATATCTGATCAGGGCATTTGATTACCATTAATATAGTTTCAACGACCTATATTAACTCAAATATGTCTTTATTGCCATATTGGAATGGAAGAGGCATCATTCTTTCTCACATGACTGTTTTGCTTATTTGCTTGTTCCTAGGAGAAACACATTTGTCCTGCTGTTATTAACCATTTCACTATAATCAGCATACCGTCCAATTGATGATCAGTTCTCCAGGTGCTCCTCCTCCCCCGTTGAGCCCAGATGGTGCAACGGTTGGAGCTGTTGTTTTTCCAAGTGAGAAGGACAAAATGTATGTTAATTCAGAAAGCCAAGCAAAACTGAAACAATAGCACTAAAGAAAAGGACAGCAGTTATGTCCTGAGGAAGGCTAAAAAGTTGCTTATTAATACATATATTCAGATAGATCTTCTGATCTTTTGATTTTTAAATATAATTATAAACCAGAACATTCTGTCCATGACATAAACACCATAATTATATAGCCAAGGTTGTGTCTCCAAGCCCAATCCCAACCATCTTCATTATCAGGCAGCAGACATTGCAATTGACATGGGTCTGTTTGCCTATAGATCAGGAAACAGCTGGTTGATGTTTTCACCCCAATTCCCATGAGCAACCTCTAGTATGTCAGCCAGAAGCAGGGTCCCTGTTACAATTAGCTATTGCACTGAAGATTACTCACAAGAGGGGAAGTGGAAATATCAGTTAGCTTCTTCCTGATAAAGAGGGGAACAGACAACTGTGGCTCATGATGGCTGCTGTCTGGTAATTGAGGACTGAGGGACTTTCACATGGTTCTAACTTACCTTCTTCTGCAGAAGAATAAAAAATAAAATAAATAAAAATAAAAAATAAATTTCACGGTCTCCATATATTCCCTAAATTAGTCACAAATGTGTATGATGCACATTAATTAACTACCTGAATCTCAGTCAACAATTTTTAAATATTTCTGGGAGTTTTAAGGGAATCTAAGAAAAAATGCAATAAAAAGAATGTCAGAATAAACACTTTAGGATATTTACAGAACGTTCTCATGACAAGGTGAAGGCTATGTAAAGTTTATGCTAATCAGTAATTGATGCTGGGCTCTAGTGGAATCAGATAAAGAATATCTGGAAGATGTTCTTTAATTCAGATAATTCTGGCAACATTGTGCAGTTGATCCCAGGCATTTTTCCTCTTTAATTAAAGAGATGTACTCACCAGCTTCTTTGGTGCGAATTTTGGCAGATGGCATGCTGGGCTCTCCAACACCAAGGATGTTGCTGGCCAGGACCCGAAATTCATAATCCATCCATGGGATGAGATTGCCTACTTGGGCTGTCTCTGAATTCCCTTCAATATTTGCAGGATCTATAACCCAAAAGAACAAGAATAGAACAAATAGAGCAAGCAGCAGTAAAAGGAGAGAAGTGAAGTTTAATACTGGAGCATGTGGAGTCTGGCCCACTGCCCTCAAGACACTTACTGGTGCGTGCTTGCTTCCACTGGGAGAAGATAGGTGTGCGGACCTGGATGACATATTTGGCTATTGGACTGTGGTTATCAAAGCCCCGACTCCAGCTTAGTTGCACTGTTGTGTCCTTGATGTCTGTGACTACCAGTCCCCCAGGAGGCCCGGGTGGTCCTACCAAACCAAAAGAGCAACATCGGAAATAACAACACAATCTGACTTTATGACTTGAATTCTGTTGCTTAAATCTGAGCTATGTGATAGTCTACAAGATTACACACACACACACACAAAGGCAGGGATATGATCTTTCTCAGTGCTCCTTTTGTTTGCATCATCGCTCAGGCTGCTCCTTCAGTTAGCTTTTCATGGAGCCTCAAGAGGAAGGATGAATCATGAAGATACTTTCAGCATGAGGACTGCTAAGTACTATTCTGGATCCAAGTCATCACACGTATACTCTCTTTTAAGATAAATTGTAAAATAGATCACAATATAATAATATAACAATAAAAACACAATGAAATATCCAAGGCAAACATACACAAAAGTCAAACAAACACAAGAAAGAAAGAAAGAAAGAAGGAAGGAAGGAAGGAAGGAAGGAAGGAAGGAAGGAAAGAAAGAAAGAATTTACCTCTTACAACTAGGGTGGCTGATTCAGAAGCACTGTCCACCACAGTCTGGGCTGTGCAAGTATATCGACCAGCATGTTTCAACTGAGCATTCAAGACCATAAGGTCTCCAATATTTTCTTTCTAGAAAAGGGAAGCAAGAACTAAAGTCAAAATCAAGCTGACTCACAATCTACATGTTTAAAAGATGAGGCATGTCATGGAAATCACAGTTGTATATGCATTAACTTGAAAGATATTAGAGAACAAGAGCTAGACACAGAAGAGTGCTGGGTTCTCCACACACCATGATCACTTCCAAGAGATTATAGGGTGACACAGAATTTGAAATACTCACTGTACTAGCTCTCTTGTAGTGGCCTTCAGACTTGCTAATGTCAATGAGTAAGTCATCCAGACACCAAGTAAATGTAAGATCCATTGTTGGGTCATGAGAGGCATGGCACTTCAAGGTAATGTTCTCACCTACGTTAATGTCAGCACTGGATGGTGCAAGAGTGATTTTAGTGGCATCTGCAGAATAGAGGTGGGATAATTCTTAGGGGTTGTTTATGGTTACCACATGCCATTAACAAAACACCTATATGTTTGGATATAGACATATATTATCTGCTCATTCCATATTAAAATCACCTTTGAGATTGGATAGAGAAGATTTTGTTTCTTTTAATTATTTTGCAATGAACAAATGACATGCTCTCTTTTTTGCTGTTGTACTTTCCAGGAGAAAATGTTGGCAAAATTGGTTATTAATTATTCCATTATGTTTGGCCCTAGAAAAAAAAGTAAGTATTCCTTACCTCGAACTGACAAGGTTCCTGTGCTGTTTGCTTTGCCCATGAAATTCTCAGCAAAGCAGGTGTACTTCCCCTCATCTGACTTGCTAATGTTCCGAATGATCAAAGTGCCACTTGGAGTAATAGTGATTCTGAAGTGTAGAGGAAAAGCCCACCAGGAAAGAGTCAAAAATAGAACTGTGTTAAGAACAGGGCTCTGGGTAAAACTACTGGACATATAACATTGGATTGCAGACAAATTATGATGTAATTCCTTCATTCCAACCTGAATAAGCCTACAATCAATAGAATTAGCTTGGACTAATTAAAAGGATTCACACCTATATAAAACAAGTTAGGCAAACTTGTCAAAGACAACCTGTCATAGAATATTGCCCTTAATCTACGAGAAGACAGTCCTCCAACGTATGATGATCTGCAGCACTAGCATCACTGCTATGCTTACCACTGGGATTCTTGAGATAAAGCAAGGATGACTGGAGGGTCTCAACTAGATCACTTAATATCTCCTGCAAGATATGATCTCTGGTTCTCTTTAATTCTCATCTGATTTGGTGACTTCACTGAGATAGGCCCTGATGTTGAAAGTACTCAGAAAACATCAGAGTGGGATCTAGTTTTGGGAGGGTGAGGAACCTGTGGTTCATTGTGTAGATGATTGCATAGGATATCCTGGAACCAGTTTGAGGCCAAGAAGGTAATTACACTGAGCACTGATGTTCATTAAGGGCTTTCTTTCATGCAGTTTTTCAGGGATTTGTTATCTGGACACTGCAAATTGATTTCTTTGAACTGCATTAAATGGACAGTTAAAATATGGCCTAAAACACCCTTTCCCTCATAATATTAAAACTATCCAGAACTCGGTACAGTAACCAGAGTAAGGAGGAATACCTGCTTTTTACTTAGCTAGAAAAAGAATGAGTGCTCATACCTGGAACCATTACTTAGAAGCTCGGTTCCTTTGGTCCAAATTATGCTAGCCTTTGGGGCAGCTTTTGGTTGACAATGGATGATAATTTCTCCACCTCGAGCTGCTGGTATCAGTCGCCTCACGGGGTTTAACCGAAAATCAGGAGCAAAGGCTAAAAAGAAAAAGAAAAGAATTTTGAGTCATGGGAAATGGTAAAGTTGTCTGATTCTAAAAGTGATTCAAAATATAGGATTTTAAATCTGACTCAGATGTATGATTTATTCAAAAAATAATAATTGGTTAAATATTTGCTTGTTTACCTGAACAGTTCTGGGTATTTAAATTATTATGGTATTTGTTCATCCCTGACTAGGTAGAAGAGAACCTAAATAAAATGATTTTTAAACATGTTTCTTTACTATGAAGTGTCATGGTAAAATTCTTACCTAACTTTATTATTTTACAAAATAAAGAGTTTTTTTTTAAAAAAAGAATACCTTACTATGCATCATTTTGAAAAGGTACATGCTATTATTCAGCATTGTAGGACTTATATCTGAGTGATTATAATCAGGACGGTGTAGCACAAAAATCTCTGATTTCAAAGACAAAGCTTTAGTTCCATATCTGGAGAAACAATCCAGTGTCTAAATTATACATTCCATACATAAATTAATGCATAAATTCAGAACTCACCTTGCACATACAATTCAGCACTTGCATAAATGTTGCCATGTTTATTCTCTCCTACACACTGATACATGCCTGAGTCCTCCATTGTTAACTTGAAAATCCTCAAATCTCCACCATTCACTTCAATGCGATTCTGTGCAAATAAGCGAATGAAGTAGTTAAATGAGAATATAATCCATTACATTTGACAATTAGATATTCAGAACTGATGTCACTGCTATGTTCTTGAACATATTCTGCCTGTTGGTCATGTTCTGTCTCTGCTGAGTCATTCTGTGAGTTGTTGTTTTTTTTTATGTCAGGAGCGACTTGAGAAAATGCAAATTGCTTCTGGTGTAAGAGAATTGACTGTCTGCAAGGATGTTGCCCAGGGGATACCCGGATGTTTTGATGTTTTACTATCCTCGTGGGAGGCTTCTCTCATGTCCCCACATGGGGAGCTGGAGCTGACAGAAGGAGCTCATCTGTGCTCTCCCTGGATCTGAACTGCAGACCTGTTGGTCTTCTGTCCTGCTGGCGCAAGGGTTTAACCCATTGCTCCACCAGGGGCTCCTATTCTGTGAGTGACTTTGTGTGTATACACAATACAAGGACTGAAGTAGTGGTGACCTCCAAGGATAACTGCTCACTTAGGAAATTAATGGTGATGGTATTTTATCCCAAAACAGATTATTTTTACTAAGAAAACAGCATGAAGAAAATGAATATACTAAGAACAACGTGTTCAATGTAGTGTATACTACTCCATACATGTTTGCACACAAATATCTCATACGGCACATCTACACTGTACATCGAGCAGAATTTGACACAACTTTAACTGCCACCACAGAGAGGAAAGTGTTTTTCAGGTAGCTCCAATGAAGCTAGCCACACTTTCATCTCCATTTTGCCATATGATGGAGGAAAGGGCAGAGGGGCAATGCGCATTGACACCCTCTCTCATATATTATGGGGACAGGGCATCAATGTGCCTTGTCCCATCCCCATCTCATAATGGGTGAAGGAGGGAGGGTGTGGGACACCATGAGCGGCACACCTTCCCTTTTGGTAGCAGATGACTGTGTAACGACCCAGCCCCAGGAGCTGTGTGAAGCAGTCTTAAACTCAGAACTTCCTGACTGTGAGAGCCGTTCAGCAGTGGAACTCTCTGCCCCGGAGTGTGGTGGAGGCTCCTTTTAAGCAGAGGCTGGATGGCCATCTGTCAGGGGTGATTTGAATGCAATATTCCTGCTTCTTGGCAGGGGGTTGGACTGGATGGCCCATGAGGTCTCTTCCAACTCTTTGATTCTATGATTCTATGATTCAGTGAGATTTACTTCTGAGTTATGTAAAGATCCGTGAGAAAATAAGGAAGAAAAATGAGAAACTTATGAATAGGTATGCCATAGCAAAAAAACCTCTTTTAAGTGGGTGTATTGATCCCAGTTTCATTATGTTTTTGTTCTCTTCTTATAATTTTGTTTGCAATTTTCTCAAAAGACAATGAATTTCACACAAGGCACTGTTTCTTTTAAAATTGTATTTCTTTTGTCTGAAGGTCAACCATGATTGCTTTACTCAAAAACTATTCTTTCTGTCTCTTCCATCTTGAAATAGCAATTCTATGGAGAGATTCAGAGAACCATATCTTGATTTATGAAATCAAGAAAGCATAGGAAGAAGGTTTGTAGGTGTGTGTGCAGCTCCTACATATGAGCCAGAAAACAACCCAGCAAATCTTCAATTAAGTATTAGTTGTTGTTTGCCTTCAAGTCATTTCCAGCTCATGGTGATCCCAAGACAAACTTATCATAAAGGGTTTTTTTGGCAAGATTTCTTCAGAGGCGATTTTCCAATCAACTGTAGCTTCCTGTTTAATCTTAACTGGGAATTGCTTCGGAACTAGTGGGAAGACAATATTAAACTACTTTATCTGAAGTGGTTTAATATTCTGCTTTGTTCCAAATCCTATTAATTTTGCATATTTGATGAAGCAGGCAACAGTTATAGTGAGCAAAAAGCTTCCTGGTTTGATTCAAGCAGGAGGAGAAGAGAAAGCCTTTCTGAGTAACCTGCAGATTGTCCATAAGCTATGATTGTGCAAACAAGCTCTCTGACTATAGGCTGAGCATCCCTTATCGGAAATGTTTGGAGGACAATAAGAAGTGTTTTGGAATCCACTCCCCCCCCCCCCCCCCGCAGTTTTGAAATACCTGTATTTGTGCATATTTATATAATGAAATATCTTGGAAATGGGGCTTAGGTCTAAACACAATATTCAAACACATCTTATGTACATAGCCTAAAGCAGGGCTGTCCAAGCTTTCAGCTTCCCTGAGTGACATAGGATGAAGAAAAGGAATTGTTTGGGGAAACATATAAATATGCTAACACTAATGATAACTGATAAGCACCCCCCAGAAAAAAATCCCAACAATCCATGTATAATTTTCTTGATATTTGCCACCACAGATAAGCTTTAAAAAGCCTTGCATAATAATGCTAATTATGCACCACCCTGTTCAAAGGGTCTTTTTAAATAGTTGAGGAAGCCCTCTGGCTGATTTTTTTGCAATTATAATGAGAATGATGGATGACACTTTGATATTTGTCTACAATGTACTCTGATTATTTCATTCTATTCTGTTGACAAAGTTTGCACTTAAAAACCAAAAAATTGAGTCCCCCCTCAATTTGTTCATAATGTTTAAGTAAGTTTACAATTTTGTGTCAGGCCATATTCATAGGCATCCTGAGCCACATGTGGACCATGGACTGCTGCTCTAAAGATAATTATATACAATAATTTTAATAACTAAGTGTATGAAATGAAGTTTATGTACACTGACACATCAAAAATGAAAGATGCCACTATCTTTGCCTTCTATGAGGGATTTTCTAGGATTTTGGAGTATTTTGGATTTCAAATTTCCAGATAAGTGATGCTCAGTAGGGATTGGACATGCCAAAAGACAAAAACCTCACATGCCCTTTGAAGGATCTAGAAGTACCTCACTGGTTTCCCATTTTTCAATTTTAATTTAAAAGTCTCTAATGTCCTTTTGGGAATGAAAGAAAAAAATGCTTTCACACACATACATACACATAGCCGTTTTAGGCTTGGAGGAGGTGAAAAAAGCCTAGAATACTGACGGAGGCCCTAACAATGTGAGAAAATATCCTTTGCTGCCTCCTAATGTCTTTTTACATTAAGACAATTTGGTGTGTATGTGGTAAAGCACGTGCCTACATTGTGCCCATCCCTGTTTCAGAACCTGAAATTTCATTCCTACATTAATGCTCCTAGATAATTACTTGCATTTTTTGTTCTGAAAGATAGATATATGTATAAAGTAAAGGTAAAGGTTTCCACTGACACTGAATCGAGTCATGTCCGACTCTGGGGGGTGGTGCGTATCTCCATTTCTAAGCAGAAAAGCCGGTGTTGTCTGCAGACACCTCCAAGGTCGTGCGGCCAGCATGACTGCATGGAGTGGTATTACCTTCCTGTAAAAGCTGTACCTATTGATCTACTCACACTTATATGATTTTGAACTGCTAGATTGGCAGAAGCTGGAGTTAACAGTGGGAGCTCACCCTGCTCCCCGGATTCGAACCACAAACTTTTCAGTCAGCAAGTTCAGCAGCTCAGTGGTTTAAATGCTATACATACATGTATAATAGACTTATATATGTATAGTTACATAATAATAACATTCCTGGATTCAGCCTGTTTAAAATAATTGTTATTACTTTGTGAAGAGCTACCCAACCTAACTAACAATCAAGAAAAAGAATGATGAAGGAGAGAAGCAATAGAATAAGGAAAACCACAGAAGTGGCTTGATTATATTACCCCAGTATTTAGCAGGTGAAACAAAAGGGAAAGTAAAAATATAAATGGCATTTGTCAAGCAATGATAGATGGGGCACCTGTGAAGTTAATGACTGTCCATTCCGTAGCCATCTTAGAGTAGGCCTGGGCTTCCCAGCTGCAGCACAGCTCCAGTGGAGGTCTGCTCCAATGTCAGCTTCTTTGTCCGAAATGACCTTCAGCCATTCTGGTTGAGCTACAAAGGGGCACAGATATCAATGCAATGCGCCACTCAGAAGCAAGAATGTAGTGTAATACGTAACCCGCCCACAATCAGGACAACACAAGAATGTATCTGTGTTTTTAAGAAGAATTTACCCAAACTCATAGATTCCTTCACATGGATGATGAAAAGCATATAAGATTTTTTTTTAAAAAAAAATTAACTGTGGAAAAACCAAAACTGACAGATTCATCCATCCAGGTCTAAGGCTTTGGGTGCTTAAATCCTAAGGGCATGGATCTAGTTGTCCATGATATCAATCAGGTTTATGATCCTGAATTTGGATTCTCATCTCTCTTTTTTCTGACTCAATCCATCTTTTAACAGCTATATAGGAGACAAATCCAGTAAGGTGGGAATAGCTATCTATTTTGCATTTTGCCAGTACAAATAAGTAAGAGTTCCACTTTGGACAACAAAAAGGCATATGATTTCCTTTCTATTCAGCATCGGAGAACACCGATGTGGGTTAAAAAAATCCTCATATTCTTCCTTTTTTAGCTATAAGACATTTCATTTCTAAAATGTGGATAAAAGAATATCTTGAAAATGGCTACGGGATGATGCTTGATCCAGCTCTCCAGCATGATAGGCATTTTACTCTAAATGCAAGTCTTTGGTTCAATCAGACTTGCCTCATTCCTATATCCAGCTCACTTGTTAACACTTGCTCTTTGGTTTACTGTTTCATCTCTTTCTTTTCACCCTTTCTATGCATTGTATCAGAAATAAGAAACAATATTCATTGTTCCAAGTCTCCATTTTCATGTGGATCAATTCCCAACACTTGGATGCTCAGTTTTAGGACAATGAGTCCCAAACCTGGGACCTCAGCCTCAAAAGCCCTAGACAGCAGGTCCAACAAAATCTGGGGACCCCAGTTTGAACATCACTTCTCTAACCAAAACAGATATGTGGTTTCCTGGACTTGAGACCTAAGCATTTCAAGGATGGACAAATAATTATCAAAATGGCAAGCTGTGTCTTGCACAGAAACTTGCTTGGCTGCTGTACCTTGAATTATGATGCGACCCCGATAGGTGTCTTTTCCTTGGATGTTCTCAGCCTCGCACTCATAAGTGCCTTCATCCTCAAAGCCGACTTCTTTAAACTCCAGGAGGGGTTCTGTTGTAATCCACCTGGAAGACTGGCTACCATCCAACTTCCGCCATTTTATTTGCGGGACAGGGCTAGATTACAAAAGAAAATATCTGTGAAAACACAATGCAGTCTTCAAGGGCAACAAAATTACCATTACTTTGAAAAGTTAGGATTGCTAACTGGGTTGTAGGCTGGGGATTCTAGGGGATGCAGTCAAGAAAACCTTTTTATCTAGCCATAGCTAAATATTGAGGACAACTCCTTTTCGTCAAACCTCCCCCATTGTGAGCAGCATCTTGCATTATTTAAAATGTCCTAATGCTCCCCTTTGTCTTATTACTTAACTGTCTTATTTCCTACCATCTCTCTCAACCCAGAGTTTAATTAACAAATAATTAATTGACTCACTAAAGGTCAAGTTATGTCTATAAATTGCTTGTTTTGACTAAATGATATCCATTCCCAATCTGGGACTTTGGGATGCATTTTAAATTACTAATTATTTCGTATAATCTCCAAACACATTCAGAATCATTCTTATTTATTATTTTACCATGCCAGGTAAAAATGCCCAGCATTAAAACGAGTCTTGAATAAATCAAGCCATGGTGAACCCAAAGTCACATCTGCTGATATTTATTATCCAATAATCAAAGGTATTCATAATACTGAAAAAAAATATCCAGATTATTAAGTTTTTAGCTCACGTAACAGGCAAATGCAGCACAGTTTGCTAACTCAAATCAACTCCTCTGTAATGGAATGGATGATAAGTGGGTCATCATCAAAGATTTATTCATTATTTATTTATTTATTTTATTTTTATCCCTTCTTCATACTGATATAGGGATTCAATGCAGCTAAAAATAAATATATCTGAAATCACATGAGCTAAATGTTTGCAGTTTGATAATTAGCTGCATGGTAAATATTCTCTATTATTTTAAATGGTGGTTCTTTCATTACTTCCAACTGTATAATCTTAGCTTTTGGAAGCAAAGACTTTCAAACCAAGTTTGTGCTTTTGCTGGTCTGCAACATTTCTACTTTTCTCCTTTTGCCAGTAGGGCAATTAATAGAACTACTTACTTCCCAAAGGCAAAACACTCCAAAGCAACCAACTGCCCGGCCAGAGCGAAAGTGTCGGAGGGAAACTTGGCTTTAATGGTTGGGGCATATGGTCTAGAATCTGTGGAAAGGAAATGCAAAGAGGTTAAGAGCATTGAAACCCTCCAAGGAAGACACTAGATATTCATATTCATGCAATGCTTTAATATAAAGTACATCTCAATCTTTAAATATGCAAATCCGGAGTTTATTTCTATCTTTATATATAAAACAATCCTCTTAGGTTTGTCAGCTATGTTACAATTTGACACAAAGTTACATGAATGTCTATCTGGATGAGGAAGAACAAGCTGAAGATCAATCCCGACAAGACAGAGGTCCTCCTGGTCGATTGCAAACCGGATCGGGGTACAGGGTAGCAACCTGTGTTGAACGGGGTTACACTCCCCTTGAAGCCACAGGTCCGCAGTTTGGGAGTCCTTTTGGACTCATCACTCACGCTTGAGGCTCAGGCGTCGGCGGTGTCCGGGAGGGCTTTTGCACAACTGAGACTTGTGCGCCAGCTGCGACCGTACCTCGCGAAGGCTGATCTGGCCGGGGTGCTCCATGCCTTGGTCACCTCTAGATTGGACTACTGCAATGCGCTCTACATAGGGCTGCCCTTGAAAATGGCTCGGAAATTCCAACTGGTCCAATGGGCAGCAGCCAGGATGTTAACCGGGGCTCATTACAGAGAGAGGTCAACCCTCCTGTTCAAGGAGCTCCACTGGCTGCTGTTTATCTTCCGAGCCCAATTCAAGGTGCAGGTGCTTACCTACAAAGCCCTGAACGGTTTGGGACCACCCTACCTACATGACCGCATCCCCATCTATGAACCCACACGCTCACTCCGGTCATCTGGAGAGGCCCTGCTCGTGATCCCGCCCATGTCACAGGCGTGCTTGGTGGGAACCCGAGACAGGGCTTTTTCTGTGGTGCCCCCCCCCCCCCACGACTCTGGAACGCCCTCCCAAAAGACCTTAGACAGGCCCCTTCGCTGGCAGTCTTCAGAAAGAACTTGAAGACCTGGCTGTTCCGATGTGCCTTTTCAGATTAGGAACCTCCAATACCAAGTCCTAGAAGCACTTTATAGAACTAAGATCACTGCACACCGCACACCGCACTTACTTTATAATCCTACATACCTCCTGCCACATCAGCACTTTTAATCTTGTACCCATTTTCTGGCCTGGCCCAGTTTTATATTGTCTTGATGTTTTGATGTATTGTTATTGCTGTTGTTTATTTCTGCTTAACTGTTTTAATTTGCGCTAGGTATTGTTCTGTTGTATTGTGTTTTGAGGCCTCGGCCTATGTAAGCCGCATTGAGTCCTGCGGGAGATGCTAGCGGGGTACAAATAAAGTAATAATAATAATAATAATAATAATGATGATGATGATGATGATGATGATGATGAATGGTCTGATGTGATCTAAGGTTGGAGCCTCTTTGTAGGAAAGTTTAATGACAGGACGTTTGGTTGATTAGCATCCCTCCTAAGGAGATTCTGGTTCATATGAAGAGTCATCTCCTCCACTATCAGGATCTCCTTATAGGTGGGGCACAATGACCTTTCTTTCCAATCCCACTCCTTTTCAAGTCTTGTCAACCTCCTCACTTCTGATCCCATAAAAGTGTATAAGTCAATTCAAGGATGGCTGGCTGTAACCAGCAGGAGTGCAATTTCCAAAGGATTTCCTGAACTACAGATCCTTTCTAAAGGATGTACTTCAGTCTCAAACCTTTTTTGCCAGGTCTATAGCTACAAAAAAGGGTATAAAGGCATTCCCTCTCATAAAATCTACCTGCACTTCCTACCTTCCTAGCATTGCTAAGAGTGGCACATTGAAAAATATTCACACCTAGAACTCTTACAATTCCCTTGTCAATTTTGCCTAATTCTTTTTCTTGGCTGTCTAAACTGTATTTCTAAATACTCGACTGAAGTTTTACATTACTGCAATGCTAGAAATTTGGAGACTGAAGGAGAATTTCATTGGGTCACAAAATTCATATTGGTGGTACGCGTTCCTTTTGCCTCCTTTGTAACAGCAGTGTCTTGGCCCTGAACACTTACTCGACTTCAATAAACCTTGAATTTGAAGTTTTCATCCATAAAGACCTTGCTACACTGCCATATAAAATCCAGATTATCTACTTTCAACTGGATTATATGGTGGTCTAGACTCATATAATCCAGTTTAAAGCACATAATGTGGATTATCTGCTCTGATAACTTGAATTATATGACAGTGTAATAGGGGACTAAGTCTATTGCCAAACTGAACTGTATCCACAGCTGAACTGAACCTGTTATCTCCCCCAGACATTTCTCATTCCTGTCTGAACTGCAATGGCTATCTCTTCCTGGAATCAGTAGTCCCTTCACATTATAAGTGAAGTTAGTATGAGACCCTTTTAACTGCCATGGCAACATTCTATGAAATACTGGGTTTGTAGTTTAGGGAGAAGCATTCCTTGTCTAAGAAAACCTTATGAAATGAATGCAGCTTCCATAAGGTAACAGGGAACCTGAGGGCATGCACATGAACACGCACATTTTGAATTCTCAGCCATAAAAGCTATATTGCCTGACCAAGTCACAAACCCAGGATTTGTTTGTTTGATGGATGAGGATTTGTTTGTTTGATGGAAGTGCAAATGTAATGCAAGTTACAGAAAATATGATGCTACGTCCCCTGTTCCCCACAACTTTTTTTTTTTTACAGCTGGGTAACATTGAAAGGTTAGGTTTTGACCTAAAACAATTGCATGGGGCATAGCCTAAGCATTCTAAAATGCTGCCTGGTAAATGTCAGACTACAAAAGAGTCAAAACAATGGGTCCATTTAATTTTATTTGGTTGTATGCCTTGCTCACATATAAAGCAGAGGATGGAGGCTAGATAGTCCTCCTTCCCTCCCAATGAAACTAAACAGGTGGGCAAGAGGAGGGAAGCCATATTCTCCTCTAACTCCAGGCCATGATATGATCCACTGCTTCAAGCAATCTTATCCTTTCTTCAGCATGGCTCATTCACTGTAACACAGATGGATTGGGATAGAAGATTCAAACCATAGCAAGAAAAGACAGAAAAGGGAAGACTGCTTTGCTCACAGCATCCATGTGCTGGATCAAATGATGTAAAAAAGAACCCTAGAGTTTTCCACCGATGCTTTATATTTGAATGGGACAAAACACAACATCTTCTTCCTGTGCATCACAGAAATTCCGCAGAGGCCCTTGACCTTCTGTGAAGGACATTCAAGGACCTGTAAAGACTGCCATGGGAAAGAAAGGAAATCTTCTTGGTCCAATTGCATGTTTCTAATTCTGGATCAAAGCCACCATTTGGTATCTGTAACATTCTTCTTTTCCATCCTTTTTGTCCCAATTGTTGGGCCCATTACTCTATTCTATGATACCAGAGATTTATTAGGGCCATTACATCACATGATTAAAACCTTCTTGTTAGGACTGCACAATATGCTTCAACAAGTCTCAGTGAGCTTATGTTTGGCACCTGCAAGATGCTCAGTGATCTTCCTGCTTTGGTGATATCAGGCAGAATAGAAGACCAGATTTATTGAGCTACTTGTGGATCACCAGTAAGACATGTTTGGTCTGATGGGTATTGGGTAGTGCAGCCTGCTTTAGAAATGCCTCCTGATAGTGACGTTGACTGGTTGGTAGGATGTATTGCAGCCCAGGAGGCCTTGAAAGGCTTAATCATCCCCTGCATCACCTTCACATTTGGCTTAAATGTTATCTAGGAGGCATGAATGTAATTTGTGCTAAGTTTTGAGCACCTGTACCATTTCAGGTCTAGAGCAGAGCTTGTGTGCATGCGTGCGTGTGAGTGTTTATTAGAAGTGATTTAGAAGTAAGTTCCAGTTAATTTCATGTTTGTTTTACATGATTTCTCCTAGGTGTCTAATGATTAGAATCTCCTGAAATGGGATGAAATTTCTCCCCAGCTCCTTAGAGGGCACTAGAAGGTTAAAAATGAGGAAACAATCATCCAGGGAAATAACAGGCAGCCACAAAATTGTGGTGAGAGTTGCATGTTGCCCATGAGCTACACTTCCCTATTCCTGAATTAGGACAGTGTGTGTTCTACTGATTTGTTTTCCTTATGTACTGACCTTCTCTGGCAAGGCTGAGCTGAGAAGATGTGCTAAAAACGCTCTTTTTAAAAGAGTCAATGTGGCCAGTGGCAAAACAGGAGTAGTTGCCAAGGTCAGAGGCCTCTGTTTTAGCAATGTAAAGGTTTCCTGTTGTCTGTGAGATGAAGCGTCTTCTGTCTGTTGAGATGAAGTTGGGGAAGTCATTCACAAACCAGCGGTATTCAATACCTGTATAAAAATTAACAGTGTGAAACACTGACAATTCACTGTCATAGTGACACTAGATGTTTAACCCTAGCAGGTTATTTCCAAGGCTGGAAAACAGCAATGTCTAGCTGCTGCCCATTAATTCAGCACTTATAGCTGCATATACTTTACTGTCCCAAGAGGGTCTAAATTTCCTAAAGTCAACAGATCCTGTCTGATCTTGGAAGCTAATCAGGGTCAACCCTGGTTAATACTTGGGTGGAGGGACTGTCAATGAATACCAAGTGGTGTAGGATATATTTCAAGAGAACAAATTGGCAAAACTATCTCCAAGTATTCCTAGCCTTAAAAAAACCCATTTAAATTAATAACATCACCAAAAGTTAACAGGGAACTTGAAAACACATATACACATTCTCCACTGCCTTATGATCAGAGGATCAGAGTCAAAAATAATATCTGTTGTTCTTCTATGAGGAAAGCTCCCACAACATTCCTTTGTAGTGAGTGCCAGTTCTCTCAAATTACTAAATGAATCTGGCTACTAGCTCTTTGCTGTGATATGTTGTATGTTATCTCTAGCTACAACTGTTGTTATGTGCCTTCAAATCTTTTCCAATTTATGGCAAACCTGTCACTGGGTTTTCTGGGGAAGAGAGTGTGTGACTCCCCAAGGGTTTCCACAGCCAAGTAGGGAACCGAACTCTGGTTTTCAAAGTCACAAGCCACTTAAGCCACTCAGTGGTTCTCAACCTGTGGATCCCCAGCTGTTTTGGCCTACAACTCCCAGAAATCCCAGCCAGTTAGGATTTCTGGGAGTTGAAGGCCAAAACATCTGGGGACTCACAGGTTGAGAACAACTGGCATAACATTATAATCCCTCCGTGGCTTTCAACCAGAGGCTCTCAGACTTTTCCTTAACATAAATCTTTCCTTTTTTCACCCCCATTTCAGTTCTGCTCCTCTGCATTCAGTGCTGTCACCTAATATTTATGAACCTACTTGATTATCAAAACTAGTATGTTGGAAATTAGAGGTGCACTTACATTATGTCACAGAAATATTCAAAACCACATTTGCCTAGTTAAAGAACATGAATAAGTGCAATTACTCTGGGTACTTAATACTTCTGACAGATAAAATTTTGAACTTATCATTAGAACCCATTTTCATATTTCATGAAAGAATTCACCGCTTCAGAATTTAGGGCCACAGATCATAGTCACTTTGATATGAACAGGGCAATTTATGCTTTTCAGAATTGTTGTCATTTCAACTGTCAGCACCAAAGAACATGGTAAGTCCTTTTTACATCTGATCTATATCTCCATGGTTATCACTACAATTGTAACAATCAGGTACATATTATTTTTATGCAAAAAAGCAATAAAATGAAAAATAAAATGTTCCCTTATTTTTTCCAATTTATTTTCTTATGAAGAAGAAAATAATTTTGTAATTTTATGGCTAAAGGATATAGTTACAATACAAATCCCATGATGTTATTTCATCAAATTGTGAGAGTGTAAAATGTACTCCATTCTTTCTTTGGAGAAGAACCATCCATTTATCCGTTTCTGCCTTATCATGTTCATTTCTGCTATATTAAAAGGCTTACTTAACCATATTCTTGAAGAAAGAAAGTGGTCTTGTTTCCACTATTTTGCAAGGACAATGGATTAGGCAATTAAAAAGTAGTGACTATTATGAGACAGAAACTGCTTTATCCAAATTATTGAACAAATCCATACAAAAGATCCTATCAACATACATTACTCCAAATATCACTCCCCAAACACTGGCACAGCACTTCCAAGCATCCATGTTTAATGTATGATTGTTTTCTCACCAGGAAAATGTGGCGGTGGACTGCAAGTAAACATCACTCCCCAGCCCTCTGTACCCCTCACTGGATCTCGTTCTTCTGTAGAGAATTCCTGCAAAACTGAACACACACAAAAACGAATGGAGATGATCAGAGATGAACAATGAGAGCCAGAATATCTTAGAAATTAAATTCCTTCCATATGGAGGAAACTATGCTTTTTATTGTTCATAATACCCTCTAACCATATCAAAGGAAAATTATATTGTAAAAATAACAACAGATGGTACCAGGAACAGTTTGTTTTGAATGACGTAGATTTTTACCCACATATTTTTTCAAATGTAGGGTTTGCCAGTTTGGTCTTAACCAGACCTTTAAATAGATTAACACATTTTTTAAAAACCAACAAAAACAGGAAGAAACTACTTGTTTTTATGGGTTTTAAAAATCCCAATGTGAAACACCAGAACATCCAAAAACATTAAATGCCGAGAAAGATAAAATGAATGCAAAGGATTCAAGAGCCATGTGTGGTATGAGACGTGCTAGTTTTCTAAAATTCTAAATCTTTCTAAAATTTGTAGATATCCATACTACAGGCCATGCAATGAGCAAGCCAGGGATGGGTGGTGAATTTAGGGGCCACTTTTGTCTCCCTAGGTCATTTTGTGCACTACGTCACTTCTAAAAGTGTATTTTTCCACATTTTCTTGCAAATAACAAGAAAATTATCTCCTATTTTGAAAAAGCTGCAGAAAACGTCATTTTGCAGCTCAGTTTTTCTGAGGGAGGTGAGTGCATTGCATCTCCTGTAGGTATTATGAACCAGCAGTTCATTGTTATAAAATACAAAGGTCTCAAAAAGAAGGTATTTGCGCCCTTGTGTTACCTATTCTTCAACTAAGCAAATTAAAGCTAATTTATGAGAGAAAACAACTGTTAAAGTATTCTGGACCTTCAATATTTAGTTGTTTAAAAGCTTAAGATGATGACATTTAATTTGTCCTGGAAAGCAACTGTAACCAGGTTTCTTCTAAATGAGGAAGGTATAAAACTCACACATTAGTAATGAAATAGCTACCCCTTCACCTGAAATAGCCACTTTTATAGAAAAACTTAAGTTCCTGGACATTCTCAGCAGATTCAAAGAATGATGATCTCAAGACAGTGCAAGCGAACCTCATAGCTTATCAAACTAATGTCTACCTTTAGTATCATCGTTGAGATCATGCAAGATAGTGCTTTCAAAGCACTTAAAAAGGGGGAGAGGTTCTCAAAGAATTGTGGTTAAGACTGGAGCTCTCACTGGACTTAAAAAGAGGATTGCCATTCTTAGTTCATGCTGGTTTTTAGTATTTGTCCACCCCACTCTAAATACCCATCCCAAACTGCTGAATAATCCGGGGCTACCTCGCTGGAGCCCCCAGTGGTGCAAATGAGTTAAATGCTTGTGCCAGCGGGACTGAAGACTGACAGGTTGGAGGTTCGAATCTGAAGAGAGCACAGATTAACTCCCTCTGTCAGCTCCAGCTCCTCATGCAGGGACATGAGAGAAGCCTCCCACAAGGGTGGTAAAACATAAAAACATCCAGGCATCCCCTGGGCAATGTCCTGGCAGATGGCCAATTCTCTCACACCAACTTGCAGTTTCTCAAGTCACTCCTGACATGAAAAAAAACTCGCTGCCTGAGATGACAGTATCCCATCTTAGAGCCATTATCTAGAATGTCTGTACCCCTTGCCCTTTCTTTATTGCAGGGAGGTGATATGGGTCCACTTCCTCAAGCACTGTCCTCCTTGTTTGCTTCTGTTTTCCACAGCCTAAATTCAATACAGAGTTAACCATGCCTAAGCTCCACTCACTTCAATGGACTTAGCAATTCCAGTTTATTAAATGGAATTAATCACTTATCTCCAGAGGGCTGCCTTTGAGCCAATTTTTAAAAAATAACCTCAGCCTGATCTCTTCTGGTCTTCATCTTCCTCCTGTTATTCCACTGCACTGTTCAATTGCAATCACATATACCATGACTGGTGCTTCATTTTTACCTTGGCAGTTTTAGTTTCTAGCCAGATTGGCTGTATTATGAATGCTTACTTAGGGAGAAGAAGGTATTGCAGAATCTAACACAGACCTTATGTTTCACTGCTCTACCTGCTGTGAATTAACTCTGGAAAGCCTACTCAAGACTAGGCAGGTGACTTACAGCCAAAGCGAACATAAGCTTCTCTGCTGAGTACTGTGCCCACAGAGTTGGATGCCACACATTGGTAGAATCCAGCATCTTTGAGTTTCACTGGGTTGCTTATCACCAGGTTGCCCCCATTCAACCTGTAACGGGAATTTGTCTCGATTTTGATCTCTGTGCCATTCAGCTTCCATCTGCAGAGACAATAGGGGGTGGTCAGGGAGAAACAGAACAGAGTAAGCACAGCTGCGCATGAACATTGGTCTGAATAGAACCATACATTGGCATCTATGATGCACACAAATTCTCAATAGGATCTATTGTAGGACATTGACTGAATAGTGAATACTGCTTCTGTAGTTACAAAAGCAACCCAGTAATGAGGATAAGAAACAGCTGTACAGTACATAATACTAAAGAAGATCCTCATTTCAAAGAGTAATCAGATTGCAAAGAATATTCCAAACGATAAGATCCTTTAGATTGTATCTTCTCACACTAGCAAATCACTCACCAGGATTGTCTTCTACATGCAGCATTGGGATTGGTTCTTGGTAGAATACATCAGATGACTAGAATCTCTGGGCTCATCAACACTAGCATTATAATCCAGGCCCCACTCTGATTTAGTTCCTGGCTGTCCCCACTATGTTTCTCCACTTTCAGTAAGGATTGAAGTATAAACCAGGGGAATCCAGCTAACCCCATATTAGGGAAAGTCAGGGGATTCTCTGGAATTTGGATGAAATTCTAAAGTGATGTTTTAACTGTGGACTGCGGGACTGGGTCCAGTTTGAACTGGTGCTGCAACAAACCCCATAGGATGGGGTTACAGCAGTTAAGTGTCAGCATGTGGACAGGAAGATAGTTTCTCAATGCAGGATTCCTGTGTTAGCTTTCTGAACTATGCTCTTTCAGCTTACTCCTTGATTCCTGCCAGAGCTGGGAAGTAATTAGTTACTAAGTAATTCCCTATAAGAATTTCCATCCTCCCATAATGGAGGCATGGCTAAGTCATATTACAATATCAACGTAAGCAGGGATAACTTCATTCCTTTGTGAAGTTATTATTATTATTATTATTATTATTATTATTATTATTATTATTAACTTTATTCATACCCCGCAAAAGCTCCCGAAGGACTCGATGCGGCTTACAAAGGCCAAGGCCGCTGACAACAACAACATACAATACACAATAAAACTCATAAGCAAATAATAAACATCAAGCAAACAATAAAACAGTAAAACGATGACACCGTGAATGCAATTAAAACCTAAAGGCCGAGCCAAATGTAATAGACAAAATTTAAAAGTGCTGAACTTGACAGGTAATATGTAGAGGTATTTGGAGGTAGGTGCAATGTGCAGATAATCCTGAATCTCTATCAAAGTGCATTTGGGACTTGATGCCAGGAGTTTCCTATTCTGGAAAGGCACACTGGAACAGCCAGGTCTTCAGGCTCTTCCTGAAAACTGCCGACGTTGGGGCTTGTCTGATGTCCTTGGGGAGAAAGTTCCAGAGTCGGGGGGCCACCACAGAGAAGACCCTGTCCCTCGTCCCCACCAAACGCGCCTGCGATGCAGGTGGGATCGTGAGCAGGGTCTTTCCAGATGATCGGAGGGAGCGTGTGGGTTCATAGACGGAGATGCGGTCACGCAGGTAGGCAGGTCCCAAACTGTTTAGGGCTTTGTAGGTGAGCACCTGCACCTTGAATTGGGACCGGAAAATGAACGGCAGCCAATGGAGCTCCTTGAACAGGAGGGTTGACCTCTCTCTGTAAGGAGCGCCAGTTAACATCCTGGCTGCCGCCCGCTGGACTAGCTGAAATTTCTGAGCCGTTTTCAAGGGCAGCCCCATGTAGAGTGCATTACAGTAGTCCAATCTAGAGGTGACTAAGGCATGGACCACCCCGGCCAGATCAGCCTTTATGAGGTAAGGTGCAGTTGGCGCACGAGTCTCAGTTTTGCAAAAGCCCTCCCAGACCTCAAGCGTAAGTGATGAATCCAAGAGGACTCCCAAACTGCGGACCTGTGACTTCAGGGGGAGTGTAACCCCGTCCAGCACAGGTTGCCACCCTATACCCCGATCCGGTTTTCGATCGACCAGGAGGACCTCTGTCTTGTCGGGATTAATCTTCAGCTTGTTCCTCCTCATCCAGACAGCCATAGTGGCCAGGCACTTGTCCAGCACTCGAGGGGCTTCCTTGGAATTAGGTGGAAAAGAGTAATAGAGTTGTGTGTCATCTGCGTAGAGATGGCACCTAACTCCAAAACTCCGGATGACCTCTCCCAGTGGTTTCATAATAATGGTAGGCTTATTGTGGTGGTGGTTTGCTTCACTACACAAGAGGGGGAAATGTCACAAAGTTCAAATTCGGTCATATGCTGCTGTGTTCTCAACTTTTGGGGGCATTGAGGTGACACAGAGGCAGACAACAGGAATGTATGTTTTGAACCACATATCCATAACATGTAGTTTTCAGAATTTTAGAAATTTAACTATTAGCTATTTTTGAGAAAATAATTAAAGTTACTTATAACATGTTTTAAAGTTGATTTTAAAATTCACTTTCCAATCTCTGGTTTTTATGGAGGATCCAGGAACTCTGTGCTGTTTCTCATCGTCCAACTTGTATGAAACCAATCTCTGCAAAACCAAACTCTACTTTTCCTCCTACTCTTGTTCTAAACTGCAAGCTATGGAATTGCTCACTCTAAGTTGCTTGAAAGTGAACCATAGGCAGCACCCTTAAAATATAATATGACTCATTTACATGGGAGTGAGCCATACTGATCTCGAATCGCAGTACTGTTGCTACATATAGAACTAACTGAATTATATGTTAAAACATTTTAAACACCATTAATGTTGACTAGAAGAGGTAAGCAGAAATGTATGCTTATTTTATTCTACCTTGCAACAATGAATAATTTCAAACACTTTTTCCTTTCAGGCCAAATTACTATGGTTTTCCACATTGTTGGTACAGTTTTTGGCATTTTTTACTTTGGAAAGTAAAAATCAATTGCACTAAAACTTGGTTTTTTTCTGCAAAGGGGCCGATTTTATGAAGAACATAGTGTTTTGCACAATGCTTTTTTAAACAAAAATGTCCTTTCATTAGTCTCCGCCAGAATAAAACAACGGAATCAACTAAATTTACCTACATGTTGACTCATTGTTCAACAATTGATTGTGTGGGTCTACTCTAGTTGTGACAAACCAACAGAATTCCACAAGAATACATTATCCCACACCTCCCCAAGCAACACATCTCACAGAGTTTGACCATATTCCTAATGGTACACATCAGTGACTTTTGAGAAAATAATATACTATAGAATTAACACACTATATTTTAACTACCATGGTTCAATGCTATGGAATCATGGGAATTGCAGTTTTATAAGATCTTCACCATCCTCTGATGGTGCCTCACCAAACTAGAAGTTTCAGAATTCCAAAGCATTGAGCCATAGCTGTTAAAATAGTGTCAAACAGCACTAATTATAAAATATTGATACATCCCGAGATATATTTTCTTGCTAAGCTTGATAATACCTGGGAGCATTATTTACACCCAGAACATGTCTAACTTTTCTATTTAATTCAGTAGACTATAAAATATGTACTTTTGGACTCATAATTGGCACTGCAAGATCAAATGTGTTGTTAAAGCAAAAATGAACAAAGTAATGTCACATCACAGTAACATGCTTCCTGAGATGCTAGTAGCATTAAGGTAACATCACCTGTAGGTTGCAGGAGGGCTGGCTCGTGCTTGACATGTCAACAATATTTGCTCCTCTGATGACCCTTCTGGAAACAGGGTATTGCGTGGTTGTTCTTCAAATACTGGCCCATAATTCCTTACAGTGCTCTCTGTTGGCCACCATACTGCATGAGAAGGTGAAAGGATACAGAAAAGGAGAAGTGGTAGATACTTTGTTAAATGACAATTGTTTTTGACTCACCAGCAGTTTGTATCCTTTATGAAACAAAAAAAGGAGCCATGGATCTCAGAATCTTGCATAATTGTATGCCATTATTTATCATGAAATTATAGAATTGTTGAGTTGAATTGAGGGCCATCTAGTCCCCTGTTACTGGTAATGTAGGAATTTGCTATTATATCATATAGAAGCCCAAATGAAGGAGAGTGTTTCATCATCTTTCCAGGTCATTTATGACTTTATATATTTTGTACCCAAATATATATCTTTAACTGCCATTGTTTACCTATTTGTTATATTTATATACTTATTGTACTTACTCCAATGAGCTCAAGACAGCACACATAGCTCTTCCCCTGTATATTTCTTTATAGCACCTCTGTGAATTTGGTCAAGTCCAGACAGGTTGACCTGTTAAAAGTCACTCTGGGGATTACATAGTTTACTAGAGACTTCAACCTGGATCTCTCAAATGCAGTCACTTTAACTTTTCACCTTTGAGATTAACACAACTGCCTTCTACCGAAATTCCTTGGAACAACACCAGTCTGAAAACATTCCTTTGAATTGTGCATAACACCAAAGTGACTAAGTTTGAAATGTTGTCCATATGGCAGGCCCCCAGTAGATGGTGCCTTTTAAATGTGCAGAAACAAGATGCAAGAGCTGACACCTCACACTCCGCACTTGCCCAGATTATTTGACTTAATACATCCTGTCCTTTAACATTCACACTTTTCACCAAATATGCAATATTGATGTATTTTGATCAACCAACCCATTTGCCCAGCAATGGATGGACAAAATGTCAAGAATTAGAATCATAGAATCAAAGAGTTGGAAGAGACCTCATGGGCCATCCAGTCCAACCCCCTGCCAAGA